GGCACAACTCAATTCCACTACCTCGTTCAGACTGACAGTCAGTTTCCATACTGGATCCTCTATGTCTGTAATCTTCTCACCGATTATAACAAGGAGAAACCAAAGCAGGCACCAGTTCTCCATTGCTTGTCCACCTAATTTCACACCCTTTTCAGAAAGTTCTGAGGGTGGAGAATTAGCATCTGATCCTTGGTTCCTATTAAGTTCCGAATATGTGAAGAATTTCTTCACCTTGACAAAGTAGTTGAGGTAAATGGCAAGGTCGGATGCCACTACACCCTCAAACAAATCATGGCCGATGCAGGGTGGGAGGCCTGGCTGGAAGACATGAAAAAATGCCAGAGAATTAAAGACGGGGTCAAATTTCAAACCTCTGACTTGACTTGCAGCATCACTCTGCAGCTTTTGAACGGTGTCATTGTAGTCTAGTTCTGTGCGAATTGGAGCTTGGTTCTAAATTGTCTAGCTCGCTTCTGGTCACATGACAATATCGGCAGAAATACTGTGATGTACTAAAGTTTTCTGTGAAGCCACCAATAGTATGGGAGCCCAAATTATCACCTGCAATGCAAAACACTGTTGCCTTTACAATGTTTCCCTGAATATTCAGTCCATTTGTCTCCAGTTCTCGAAGATCTGATATCACTGGAGAGAACGCTTTCTCGTGTCCAAAATTTCTGAAGTCAGCTACATGTCAACTGTGGATCGATGAAAAGGATCAAAGGTTTGCTAGGGTAAAGTAGACCCCAAGCATCTTGTGTTTTTTCTTTGCAGATCCAATGGGATTAACCACCTCGAATGCATCTTGGTACAGGATCAGCTTTAAAGTGACACCTTGCTCTGAGATCAGTAGATTAGATTTGTATACTGAGCCATCACATACTTCATTTTTTACATTCACTAGGACACATTTCTCAATACTTGGGTCACTTTTTCAAAACTCATCACACAATGAGCACAACATTAATCTATGTGAGCTAAACTTTGAATCATTTATCATTGCTTTGGCACAAAATGCATTCATTGACGACATCTGTCAAATTACATGAATTCTTTTATCACTTTGACACAAACACTACCAAAACTTGATGTGCGATACAAGCCAATTTGCAAAAGTTCCTGCGAATTCATTTAAAATAGTGATTAAAATGACTGGAACTACAAGTTTCTTTCAACTGTTTGAACGAAACACTAGCCAATCAGTATCTACTCAGACCAACAGCACTGAGACATAACAAACTAAAATTTAGAACATTAATTATACAATATTCAGAAACATTGAATAAAAAGTTTGAGTGTTACAGAGTGAATGCGACAAGAGACGTGCGGATCCAAATGCAAAGCTTTATTTAAAAAATATGGTCAAAACAGACTTGGGTCGACACCAGCAGACAGGTATGTTGAGGGCAAGACAAAAGAGTAGTCCGGTAAACAGGCGTGGGTCAAACGATGGCGAACGTAATCCAGAGGGCGATGTAAACAGATAATCCAAGACAGGCAATAATTCTAGGGCAGGCAGCAGACAGACAAGATGAGATAAACCAAGCTAGGATACAAGACTTTGGGTATAACAAGACTAGACTAGACCAAACTTGGTTACAGGCTCCGTAAAGTTGCTATCGCTAACACTGTGATAAACGCACTGCGTGTGATTGGCTTCAGGTGAGTCCGTAATTAGTGAAATGGAACATGGGAAATGTAGTCCGGGGTGACATGTAACAGTCTGTGTAGTGTGAGAGTCAATATGATGCAAAGGCGACCTCTGGTGGCGAGTGGACAAAAGACCACGGACAAGATTCGTGACAATGAAAGTGGTGAATGACAAACACGGACACAGCATTATGTCAAAATTCAAACATGGATTATCTGTGTGACTATATCAGAAAGCTAAATTGACAGTGCAGTCTAATTAGTTAATGATTTCAACTGAAGTTTAGTTATGTAGGCATCCTAATGAATCTGGTCAAAGAACGGTTAGATTTTTTTCATCCAACCTCGCCTCAGAAATCAGTATTTTTGAGCTTTAGACTAAGCCTACATCAAATATCATAAAAATTCAAAATTCAAATCATATGCAAATAGTTAATTGGTTCCTAAGTGAAAAAAGTGCAGTAAAATACACTTTAAGTACACTTAGTACACTTCCATAATGTACTTAAAGTGTTCTATTTTCGCACACAAATTTTGTACTTAATATACTAAAATTATTCTTTAGTACTTCTTAAGATAATCTTAAGAACATCCAAGTGTACTCAACTGTGCTATTTTGGGACACCATGAATATGAACGAAAATGTGCTTTTAACCACTTGTAGTAAACTTAAAACCATCTTTCATACACTTAAATATACTCATCATACATAGAAAATACACTTATTATTTAAAATATAAAAATAATATATAATGAATATATACAAAATGTATTTATAATGTATTGCCCACATATTTTTATAGATTAAGTAATTAATTTCATTTCAATTGTATTGTAATTATGTTAGCATTCCCTTTATATGATGTACTTAACTACATGTTTATGGTGTCTTTAAATAGTACAGTTAAGTACACTATTACTATGTCATTAGTAGCACTTTGTTCCGCATTAAAAATATAGCACTTCAATGCTTAAAGTATACTTACTGTTAAATTGTGAATTTTCATACACATCTAAACACACATTTTCCATCATTAATAACTATTTGAATGTTAGAAATAATACATTTGATTAAAATGACTGTAAATGTAATTGATGTAAATGTAAACACCCATAGATTGAAAGGATAACTACCCTGTTACCCTGATAACTACTTCCGTTTACAGTCTCCCCAGCCACTTCTTCCTTAGGTTGCTCTTCTTGTACTGCCATAATGTCCTCATTGCCAACACAGATGATATGTATAAGCACATGTGAGTTAACCTATTCCTCTTATCGGCAAGACATATCGGCATAATTTTTCATATCGGGCCGATGCCGATATGTACATTTATATGCCTTATCAGCCGATTCCGATATCAGTCCGATAATATCGTGCATCCTTAGTTATTTCTGTTATTTAAGAACGTCCCTGTACGAGTTCTGCTAATTTACAAGCCGAGTGAGAGTCATACTCGCAAAGGTAATGTTAAATATTAAACCAAACAAAAGCAAAACTTTTAAAAACACATAGCAGTGTAATTCTTTTATTGAGTGACAGGCAGTGGGTTTAATCTAGTTATGGGAGAAACGAAGCTTTTCGAAGCATTGAATCAATTGAACCAATTGCTTAGAAAAATGGTTCGATGATTCAAAGCACTTGAAACAGCACATGCTGGCGACACCTGCTGGTGAAAACGTTGTAAAATATAAAGAACTCGGAGCAAAGTTATTAAACAAATGTAAATGTTTTTTTAGAAATACCATTTTTTTAAAATAAATAATAAACACTTAAATAGTATTAAATATTAGTGTTTGTGTGTTGCGTTTTATTTAAGTATAATCAAACCCTTAACACTCAATGAACTAAATTAAATTATTTAATGAATAAATTGATTTATGTAATTATTTAATTAATTGT